TTTGTTTAGTCGATCGAGTCGATTTTCAGCGTTTGGTTGAGTTTTGTTGGCGAGCCACCGGCAAAACAGCTCGACATTCGTCTGCTCCACACCGAAGCGAACGTACACACGCTGGTGCAGTGAACGCGCACGGTTTACAAAATCAAAACAAACAAGAAATTCGTCCAGCCCACAAACGGCAACGATCGCCAATAAAATTGTATATAAAATCAAACAAAAATAATWGAAATTAATTTAACGCACAAGCAACATAATAGAAGAAAGTACACAACGCAATTGCATAAAATACGGTACGTGTGGTGAAAGGCCAGCAAGCAAACGTAGAGAAATTAAATTTTACAAAACACAGAGTGTCTTAAGTATAAAAAACGCACAGATCCTGCACGAGCTGTGTTGTAAAGTATACCAAAAATATATGCAAACAGGCAGCAGGCTACAGCTCTTACAAACCGCTTATGCCTTTAGTGTATTTTATGTTATTTTTTTTAAGTTTTTTTTTTCGTCTTATACGCAACGTAAGCGACACGAAACACGTTGCTTAATTAGCTTTTCGTTTAGTTAGGAGCATGACGCGTCGGCGTGATCGCCAAAGATTACAGCAACAAAATGTGGCTTGTGCCAGAATTGGGGCGCACATAATTCATTTTATATACACAAAAACATACATATAGTTATATTTATGCATAATAATATCCTTTTGGCGCTAGCGACATATAAGAATTATAAAAAAAAGAATCGTCAAAGCGAATAACTACAATTATTAGCGTAGGCTAGCCGCTTGTGTGACATAGAAAATGCGAGAAAAGTCGCTTGAATTTATGAGTGAGATTTTGGAGAATTTTTTGTTTTTTGAAAGTATTTTTAAAAGTATATTAGAACTTTTAAGCAATRGTGGCAGTGAAAAGAAAAGCAAGAAGTTAAAATAAACGACAGAAATAGTTTGTAAAATTTAAAAAACAATAACAAATTTGTAAAATTAATATATAATAATGTTAAAGAGTGTTAAAATAAAGCGCTAAACATTCAAAACCTCGAAAAAATACAAAACATAATTTTTTTTCTTTTAAAAATAGCCAAACACTCAAAAAGTTCGAAAAATATTATTTCTTTCAAAATCCCAAAACACTCAAGAACCTCGAACAATATAAAAAATAGCGTTATCACTGCTATCGAATGACTAATGCCTGCCTATAAAATAATGCGAACACGCCATATGATTTGGAACGATCAGTACGCGGCTGACTAATACACWACGCAAGAACCCTAACMCACACACCCTGTGTTTACATACGTTTTATGGACGCAGACTACACCTGTACTTCAAGGCAAGCAATTGAGAAAGCGCCCARTTACTGGATAACAGGAAAAGTAGCAACAAAKTAAAATAYGCGCAAACAAACGCTTGAAATTCGCAAACACAGGCAAATCAACTATAAATAGGCTACACGCGCTCAATGCTTTCGAGYGGCAAACGCCCATTACAACCTGCGAGCTTTGACAGCGGAGGCAGTGGACACAGCTGAGCGGCTACTAGTAAACATAATTAAGCCACTTTCAAACAGCTGATGAAAGAGCACCATAAATRTACAAATGTGCATATGTATGTATGAATGTGTAAGTATGTGTGTGTGGGAAAAACTGTGAAACCGCACAACAACAATAATCACAACAAGCATAAAACGTCAAGCCTAAAACATTATCGTACAACGCGGCTGGCACACAAGACATACATGAGTATATATAAATATATGTATGTATGTTTTGGATTCGCATATGACACTCCGACGCGAATGCAAGCATTTTATTGCTCAGCGAAGAGGAAGTAGCAAACCCACTACATACACACACACGCCAAACTAGCCGGCACTAACAAAACTTTTCAGCGTAACGCCAGCGACCTTAGCGCCGCAGCCAGCCAACGAACGCTTATTCAATGCGCCAGCAACAACAACGCATACTCARCCTGTTGAATAACTGCTTATTTKGACTAAGTGCGCGATTGGACAGGTGAACGATCAATTTGTGTATTAAATGAAACTTCGTCAGACCATTGAATGCTTTATGTTCAAATCAATRATCATGTAAAGCCAARCGAATGCGCTTCAAATCACCACTTAAATATGAGCGAGTAATAAACTAGAAAATTGATTGCCAGCGGAAATGGTTATTAACAATCGCTTGGTAGGAGYGTATACATATAAAAATGTATGATAGGTGATGATCAGCACCGAGCGCGCATTAATTACAAAATTTTCGAAGTTAAACGTTAAAGTGATGATAAAGCAAAGATAATTGAAAAATCATATAAATTGATTGGTTAAGCATAACGAGCAGCATTTAAAGGCGAAGATTTCWTTTAAAGTTTAAGCTTCATGAGCGCATGGCTATTGGTTATACATATTTATATGCTGAACATGTTAGTATATTAAGTTTGTCACGAAGTTTGGAACACGCATTGGGTGGAACTGCTGCTGATGGACCATACAAACTGAACGATCAATAAGATCAAGGACTTGGCTTATATCGAAAACTGTTTTATTTGACGACGTATCTCTACGAAATTTAATATGAATATTTTTCCAGTGCAACAGTATAATCTCCAAAGAAATTGCTCACATCGGATCACTATAGTGTATAGCTGTCATATAAACTGAACGATCAAAACTAAGTTCTTGCATGGAAAAGTTCTTTATTTGTAAATATATTTTCACGAAATTTGGCATAGATTATTGACCAAATGTAACAGTACAATTAACGAAAATGTTTTTCAGATCGAACAACTATATTATATAGCTGTCATACAAGTAGAACAATCAAAAATAAGTCGTTGTATGGAAAGGTTCATTATTTGACAAGATATCTTCACGACATTGGACAGAGAATATTTTATAAGATGGTGCTATAACTCCGTAGAAATAGTTCAGATCGAGTCACTGTTCGATATAGCTGTCATACAAACCAAACGATCAAAATCGACTCGAAACTTTTTTATATGAAAAAATATCAGCACGAAATTTWATATACTCGTAGATTGTTTTCAAATTCAGTGCCTTAATCTCCGCAGAAATTCAAAATCTAGTTATTGCATGGAAGCTTTTTTATTTGTAAAGGATATTATATAAATTAATTATTTTATTTAATAACCACGAAATCTTTATGAAATTTCTATTTTAAATATGACTTATGTTTTAAGTGATCATATCACTGATTACTGATCACTGATTTATAATATTATCCTTAAGAGCTTACGAACTTTAAGAAAGGCATATAGCTTTTTATAAATAAAACAAATTAATGCAGAAAAATAAGTTAGAAAAAATCGGGGGAAAAAATTAACCGATCGTGGGTAATTAACCGATCGTGGGTAATTTTTTACATCACATAATACAAAAAGTTGTGGACTTTTTTTTTTATATAAAACTTTACAGAAATTAGTTTGACAGTACCAAAATTTCGTTAACAAACGTTAGTTTTCGCAAAAATTTATTAAAAAATGGYAAGTCAAGCGTATTTAGTTGCAAAGTAATCGTGTCATTACTCTTAAAACGCTTAGCAGGATCATTTATGACCAAAAATTATGTATACAGTGCAGAAGTAACTAAGAAGTAAGCATAAAAAGTCGCAAAAAAGCACAGTAGCACAGCCTTTGCTATCAAACACACCTAATCGAGTTTGTAGATCGCCAAACCGTACGCCGCATATGTATGTCACGCCAGCCCACGAGAGATAAGCAAGTTGAAGAGTCACTGGACACACTCCAAATGCCTTAGTGAATCATACAGCAAACTAAATATTGCTAATCAAACTCAAGCAGCCGGAAAATAAAATCGAAATTCACGCCAATTAAGCCGCGCCAAAAGCGGCAGCGTCAACTGAACCTGTTGTGGCAAGAGTTACGCCAATTACACGCGGCAAGACTTGTCCAGTCATACCATAAACCGCTACTTCATATAAATTGTTGTTAAAATTACATACAAAGTCTTCTTAATTAAACCTAAAAGCTAGTAAATCGTTACGAAAATACTATTTGTTTTGAAACGCTTTGAAATTCGTTGTTTCATGCCACTTAAGTGTGGCTATTTTTGCCAGTAATTGCATTCCTCATAATAGATTAGCTTGTACAGTATTATATTCTTCACTGATAAGCGGCTGCATTGAGTAGTTATTAGCATATGTATGTATGCATGTATGTACATATGTACGATCGTTGCCAAGATCACTTGTGAAACTCATGCTTCTCTTTTTTCCCTTTCTATTTGCAGCACACAAACTCAGACACACATATCAGCACTAGTATTCCAGCAATCAACGCACAAACAATTTTTGTAGCGATAATAAATACTGATAGTAAGGTAAGACCCGAACTAACCGCACTATCACAACAGCTGAAGAAGCCAACGAGCATAAAGAAAGCAGCAGCACGCTTCAGCATCAGCATCAACAGCGTTTGCCGGAGACGTTGCCTATCAGCGTGCGCCGCTAATCACAACAGCAGACAGCCAATAATAGACTGCAGCATACAACAGTAACAACAACAATTAAAGTAACGGCCAATAAGGCAGCAATTGTAATTAAAGCAGCAGCCGAGAAAATGATTTCACACAGTCCACCCATCTTCAGCCATAGTCCACCAGTCAGTTTCCTATCGGACTACATGAACAATCATCGGTGAGTGATCGTAGTGCGAACGTTGCAATAATTATTACTATACATTCGAATTTGTGTAGGAAGAAAGTTGTTTTGAAACAGGATTGATATTTGCCTGTGCTAAATTTTGTGAAAGGCGCAGTATTAAGTAGTAGTTTCCTCTACATTGTTTGAGAAAAGTGTTTTGAATGAATACGAAATGATGTAAATACGTTTTTAGAGCAACAAAGTGATCGTGCTTGAACGTGAACACCTAATATGCGCTTAAATTGAAATATGCTGATAGTTACAATATCACTTGAAGTTGTACTGAGCTTTCGTATGGAAATTTAGATATATTTTTTTGTAAAACCAAAAGTTTCAAGGTCAAGAAAAGTGATCGCGCGAAAAGTGATCGCGCGAAAAGTTTTCGCGAATTTCAATTAAATACGTTTAAATGAAGTTGTTTTAAAAACAAGCGCGCTATATAGTGCCTTAGAAAGGTTTTCTACAATTTATTCGTAACATTATGAATACGATTTCATAGTATGGAGAGTGATCGCGCTTAAAAGTGAGCCCGTAATATGARCTTGTTCTGAAATATGCAGTTTCCTGAAGTCGAACTAAATTTTTGTATGCAAATTTGCTAAAACTTTGTATAATAAAAGTTTTCTAGATTTTCAAAAGTGATCGTGCAAACGTTTTTCGCGAATTTCAATAGAATGCGAATCCTGCTGGTTCTAAATAGTTTCGCATGAAGTCAGCTTGAACTTTTGTATGGAAATTTGCTAATATTTTTGGTAATAACGAAAGTTTTCGCGATTTACAAAAGTGATCGTGCGAACAGTTTACGCGAATTTCAATAGTATATGATAGCTAACGTGTTTCTTGAAGCCGAACTGAAATTTTGTATGCAAATTTGCTAATATTTTTAGTAATAACCAAAAGTTTTCGCGATTTACAAAAGTGATCGTGCAAAAGTTTTTCGCGAATTTCAATAGAATACATTTAAATGAATATCCAACTGGTATTGTCGCTTGAAGTTAGCTTGAACTTTTGTATGACAATTTGCTAATATTTTTAGTAATAACAAAAATTTTCGCGTTAAACAAGAGTAATGGTGCAAAAGTTTTTTCCACGTAGTTCGTTACAATTCGTTTAAATGCAGTTGTTTTAGATGCAAGCGGTTCATTTAAACTGCAAATATCAGTTAAATATAACTATTCGATTACGCACAAATGCGTCACATTAACTTGAAGAGTGATCTGAGGATCAATACGCCCACACAAACGCATAGGTATATTTTAAATGTATTTTAAATGCCAAAAAAAGACACTTAGTAATAAGTAAGAGTGTGTGTTATGAAAATCACTGTCGCATTGAGTTCAATAATGACTAAACTCTTAAACAAACACCGATCTTCATTGATCGTGCCAGCGCGTGAAAAAATGTGTGTTCTAAGCGCATATAAAACAACATGCTGATTTAGTACTGCTAATGCTAGTGAAATAGATTTAAATGAAGCATAAACACTTGTCCATCGAAGTATGCGCAGATTCAGTATCTTGTCAAGCACAGGTACCGCACGCAATCAGCGCTGACGCGTTGTTTTGAATTCCAAATGAATTTATTTGTTTGACGGCGTGCACACAAAGCACCTCCGCAAAATCTCTTAATCTAAAAATAGTTTGCAATTTTTCGATTTTTTTTTTCTGTTTCTGATTTTGCACATTTTTCAACCCCCAGGCGTCGACGCATAAGTATTTGCTCTAATGTTTTTTATTGGCTCTGTTTTTTTTTTTTCTTTTTTTTTTTGGGCTCCTGTTGGCTTAGCAGCTGCTCTTGACACTTGTGAATGCCATTAGCGAAGCCAGCAAGCTTTCAAGATCAAAATTATGGGCGGCAAGTGGCGAATATTTATACAAAATATTGTCAACATATTGATCCTGACATACATGCGTACACTAGAGCGGGTCGATTTACTGTAAGCCAAAAACAATCGAGAACGGAAGAATCGCGTATGCGTGACATGTTCAGGAAATATTCTTATTCGCACTTTGAGTTTTAAGACGAAATTTTTKAGGAATCATAAAATTTTGTTCGCTGGTTTTTGAGATATTCGTATGACATTGGGTACGTAGCTGTATTTTGATATATTACACTATTGATCATTTGTTGGAATCAGTCGATTTGGATCACGATATTGTAGATCTCTCATACAATCGTTTATCTGTTTTGTTTTTTTTTTTAATTTCGTCTTAAAAATTGCTGGCTTCAAACCGATTTTAGATGCTTAGTTTCTTAGGCTAAGTAGTACAGTATGCACCGTAAGCCATTTTCAACACACCCGATTTTATTTAAAAAAAAAAAAAAATCGACCTGCTCTAATGTACACACTTTCGTGTTAAGTGACTAACTTTCGGCCTTGGCAATAGAGACAAGCCCCCGGTAAAAGTTTTAAAATGACCTCGACAGTGCTGATATATTACCTGTAGTAAGAATGAAAGCAGAAAATTAGAATGTTATGTTGTAGAAAAGCTTGTAAMAAAATTATTTTGAGTTAGAGATCACTGATCGTTTTTATGACAAAAACCTTGACAATCATTAAGCACTTTAGGCGCAGCAGTCATTATTCAGTATAATTGTGTTATAATTATTAGGTAGCAGAATATATATGTATAGTGCTATATCGTCACCTGAAATACAAAATTGCTTATCCTTAAATAATCGAACCGTTGTCAGATATAGCCGGTATATAACCATTTTATAACCAAAACTAAAATTTTGTTTCAATGTGAACGGTTTCTATTATAAAGTTTTCCCTTCGCCTGTAAAATTATAAGTATGTATCATAAAATTKTGATCCCCCGCTATCGATATAACGAATATATAACCAATATATAAAACAATTATAACCCATATATAACCAGTATTTTCTAACCAAAACTCAAATTTKKTTTCAATATGAAATATATTGAAAACTGATGTTTCGAMATTTTGCTTTTAAGGTGACAATTTACATACATACATATATACTTATATATAATCGCTCATTTGCATGATCGATCGCCTGATAGTGTCTAAAGCTATGGAAAATACCRTACAACATCAAAGGATCTGTTAGTCGTGTTATCATCTTGCCTAATGCGTAATCCAAAMAGCATTAAAAATTTCCGCTGTCACTAAATAGTCTGCTTTCGGTTAGACTTTAAGGGTTAATGCGAAATTTCGTACAATTTAATGCTTTAATCTGCCGTGTTTTCAATATTATTAACGAATTCAATGAAAAAGTACCGTAAACAAATAATAAMATGCATTTGCGCGTGTTACCACGCYAAATCGGCTTATGAAATTTGTATTTTATTTTAATGTGTTCGAATCCGGCTAAATACCGCTTGACAAGATCAAATATGAATAATATAAGCAAAAATATAATCAAAACGGGGAAACGCCATAAACTTAACAAACTCGAAAAGAGATCATGTAGATTTCAAATTGCTACGTAGCAAAGCTTGGAATTGCTTATAAGCACATAATCGCTATTTAATAAACTCAACCACTTGAACTCGCGCAGCAGCCGCGCGACGAGACAGTAAACACCGATTACATACTTCTACATACCCATGTACATGCTTATGCAGTTATATGTAACTGCAATGTACACATAGTTATAGATAAGACACGCGGCTGTTGCGTGCTAATAGTCTGATTACTCGGCCGGGCGTACTGACAACCTCAAGCCGGCTGCTAGCCACTAACACTTGCCAATCCAGTCGCCGGTTTAAGTGTTTTAGCAATTCATAAAAAATTGAGGCGCCATATGTGATGTCACATATAAATCGTTGATAGTGTTGATAGTTGGGGGAAGTCGGCGTTTGCAATGTGCATATGTGCACAGATTTTGTCGTATATGTTTGTATGTAAGTATGTATGTTTGCAGTAATAAAAAACACGTTAATGAGTCGATATGATAATTTAGTGMGGGTTGCGCGTACTTTCCTAGTCTAGTGTGAGAAACATTTTTATTTGAGCAGATATTCGGAAGAAATTTTGTACAAATCATTGAGGAAAGCAGCGCTACAATATCTATAGAAATTGTTCAAATAGAACCACTATAGCATATAGTTGTCATRCAAACGGACGCTCAAAACGAAGTCTTTGTATGGAAAACTTTTTTATTTGACAAGATATCTTCACAAAATTTGATGTGTATCATTACACAAAGTAACGCCGCAATATCTGAAGAAATTGTTCAAATAAAACCACTATAGCATATAGCTGTCATACAAACGGACACTCAAAACCAAGTCTTTGTATGGTCAACTTTTTTATTTGACAATATATCTTCACAAAATTTGATATGTATCATTATACAAAGTAACGCTGCAATATCTGAAGAAATTGTTCAAATCAAATCACTATAGCATATAGCTAYCATACAAACTGAACGATCGCAATCGAGATCTTGTGTGAAAAACTTTTTTTATTTGAAGGAGATATGTTCACAAAATTTGGTATGTATTTATGACAACTATAGAATGTAGCTGCCATACAAACTGAGCGTTTAAAAAAAAAGAATTTGTATGAAAAACTTTTTTCTTTGCCAAAGATGTTCACACAAAGTTTTACGTAAGTTATTGTGACAGGCAGCGATACAATCTTCGAACAAATAATTCAAATCGGACCAAAAAACCAAAAGTTTGTATGAACAACTTTTTTATTTGACAAGATATCCGCACAAAACTTTTCATGGCTTATTTTTCAAAGCAACACTACAATCTTCGAGCAAATAATTCAAATCGGACCACTATAGCATATAGCTGTCATACAAACTCGTCATACAAAATCAAAGTCTTGCTTACACATAACCACATTTATAAAATTGTTGTTATTTTCACTTTTCCACACGCATATCTTCAATTGCTTCATACATGGATCTCACACGAGTTTAACTGCCTACATAGCACTTAAATATGTCTATGGGAGCCCCTATCTGTCCGAGCTTTATTTAATCAAACTTGTCATTTCACTTTCATTTGCAATTGTAGAATGTGTTTTCATTTAATTTTTAGTTAATTGTGCTTAACAATAGCAAACAAATGCGTGAGCACTCGTGCCATGCAGATTGTATCTGATAAAGCTAAAGTGCCCTACTCRTCGAGCGCTGTTTTCGCAATTCAATTCGAATTGCGCCGATTAAGCGGTAGAATGTGATGGCTCGAGGCTAAATAATAATAGTCACTAACTTATCAGCAGTCTAGCATTTAATCAGGCAATGTTTGGAAACTTTGCTAAGGATTTCCTGTAAAACTTTGAACACACTAGAACTATAGACTCATAAAACTTTATGGGTGGCGTAAACATGACGGCAGTGCGTGCTGGCTGTGGGTATAGAGTTGAGTGTAAAGTAATGTTTTTTTCCATAAATARAAAAATAGTTTGTGTAAAATGATAAATTTGTTTAGTTATATAAAGGTTGTTCTATGAGTTGGAGTCATATCTATGCGTTGGAGTAGTTGCTTGCCTTTAATTTGGAGTATATTGTTAGATTGACTTTAGTATAGACTTTGACTAGACATTCCAAAGAGTGCGCAAATAAATATTTTTTTTTATAAATAATTTAATACCGGAAT